AACCTAAGGCACTCTCTAAAGCCCAAGACTTCTTGTTTTGCCATGAAAGGGTGGGAGCACAGCTCAACTATGACTTGGGGGAATGGGAGTGGGGAAGGGATTGGAAGTCCCTGGCACAAAAAACTTTGATTGCTTGGGGACCCAAGGCAGGAAGCTGGCTTGGACTTGAGGGAAGAAACTACTAAAAAGCTGGAGCATTTTTTTCATTTCCCAGGACTACCAGACATCTTAGCTGCTTGTGCAGCTGCAGCCGGACAAGTTCAAGGTACTGCCTGTTTATCTGCCTCCTCTCCTGTCTTCGAGATTTCCACTGGGCTTCCACAGATATGTAAACAAGTGTGCACATGAGAGAAAACCAGGCAGAACTACATTTCATTTTGGCTTTATTTTACAGGTAAGACTGTACCTGATTCTGAAAGTGAGAGAAGCTTGGAAAGAGATGGAACACCTGAGGATATGTAACTGCCAGCACACCAGAACATAAACATGCCAAAGAGGTATGAGAAAAGTGCCAAGTCTCACTTTCACACAACCATTAGTGTCTCTGCATTTGATATAAAGAGGTTTCTTTAATTTCTTTTTATCAAGTTGAGTTGTGAAAACAACTGCTTTGTGGTAAATGCACAAAATGCCAATTAATCCCAAAAGGATCAACTGTTTTTAGGGTTTGACAACCATACTGAGAAGGCAAAATGATGTGGAGACAGACTCCAGAGCGCCAAGGAACAGCAAGAGCAGGACTAAGGGAAGGCAAGTCTGGACCCCAGGATGCCTAAAACACAGGTTTTGCAATGTCCTCACACCTGTTGCACCAGAGACAGGCACACAAAGCAGCAACAGCAACATGTCCTACTGACAGCTCAGTGCTCATCAGGCAGGAAAGGACGGCAGGCCAGGTCCACCCAGGGATTCCACGTAGCACCTCGGAAACGGGACAAGGGACAGACACCTCTAGGCACACACACACACGGGACTGAAAGGCACCAGCCTGAGCTGAAGTGGAACCCTTGGTCAGAGGATAGGGGTGGAAACCCAAAGGGATACTGGTCAGGGCAATGACGACTTATTTGTGCTCTTGGCACCCTGATGCAGAGAAATTTCAATGTATTCCTAAGCAGAAGGATTCACCAACTCTGACAAAACTACCAAGTTATGGTACATGTATGTAAAGCCTTGTTTTGGTAACACAGGGAGTTCTACTAAAAGGAGGGTGGTTGAGCTTTATCGTCACCTGATTGACAATTCCATTACACAATCACACTTTCCTTTGTATCCCAAAGAAAATTTGTATCACATAGAAACTGATCCAATCCATCTGACAGAGGACTCTGTGAAGGTTAGACTTCATTTCAGTACTAAATTGTATGGTAGCAGAGAGAATTTCCCCTCAATTATGCATTAACATCCTGCTTGTTAAAAAGACGTAACAACGTATGTAGACACAAAGAAGCCTAGCTTACTGTACTATTTCTTTTTGGGTAATGGTCATTGACAGTCATACCACTCAGCAATAAATAATCACTATGCATAACAGTTAATCTTCTTAAGTAAAGATGTTCTTATTGCATCATCCTTGCTCATGGCTGAGCAATACCTCACTCCCAAGAACGGTTCAGCTTAAGTGGGTAAGCTAAAAGCAGTACAATACTCATACCTCTAAAGGATGACAAATCAAAGCCTGGATGCTTTCACATACTCTAAAATCTTAATTGGACTAAAAACTGTAGTAATTAATTTGGCTCAAGACATACAAAGACCTACCAGACCACTACATATGCAATTTGTATTGATCAAATCCTACTGGGTTTATTGGCTATTCACTTACTGACCTGTTTCTGGTATGCAGTCCTGTTCATATTTTAAGAAGATACACTGAATCCAACTCAGCTACTTGTATTAATAAAGTAAGCACTTACTGTTGTACCAAAGCAGATGTGTGTAAATTTAACTGAGCTGTTGTTTGCATCTCATCAATCAGCTGTTGAAGACCTCTTGCAAAAACTTGGAATATGCCTAGCTTTATAAATCCAAGTCATCTCTTATAAATGTACCCCAGTATGAAATTTGAACCTCATGAATTACCTAATACGATACACATGGATTTACCAGCAGGAGCCAAGGAGGCTTTACCTGCAGCAGTGTCACAGCCAATAGCCTCCACGTCATACAGCACGGCTATGGCTGAACAGCCCATTCTCTTTAGATGGAGGATGACCTTCCTGCATGGTACATACGTGTAACTGGATGAAATTAAGACTGGGAAATGCAGGCCAAGTTAAAAGAAATAACATGTCTTGATGGGAAGTTTCGCAGTTCATCAAAAGCTCTTCCAAGGAAAACAGAAGAACCTCCCCATCTTGAGAAAATAAACAAAGAGAATTCATTTTAGTAAAATAAATAAATGACATGATCACTTCACAGAAGTGATTAAGAATCCCAGTTATAGATTCAAGTTTTGGTTGCAACCACTACTGGCAGAAGAAACAACAGGAAAGTAGTTCTTCCTACAGGGGATCCAAATATGCAGCTATTAAAAAAAAAAAAAAGTAAGCTAGCTAAATTTGAGTTGAAAGTAATAAAATTTGGCAATTGTATATATGCAATACTGTTTCTTAAAATAGTGATAAAAGCTTTCTTTAAAGACAACATCGTCACCCACTGGGACTTCGGTGATTTGTAATATAACAACTGGACTGTGGTTCACTGCTATAGAAAATTGCTTATGGTACAATCACTGCTAAGAGCCTGATTCTGCAATGAAGTCAAAAAGAAATTTACCATTTATTTCAACAGTCACATGACAGCCCTCAGTATTGCAGCTACATGAATGAAAACACTACTTTGGTTAAAAAAAAAACCTCTCACATAATCAGCTATAATGAGAAAAAGAAATAATTCCTTCGCCTCCTTAGCTTCAGTGGCAACCTTCCGACTGGGAAAGAGCTTTGGTTTTTCTCATTTGGAAATCCCCTGCCAAAGAGAGAGGCCTCAATAAAGTACATGTCATTGCTCTTGACAAAACCTTTCTATTTTACAAATGTCAAGGAAAAACCTGATGCAAGCCCTGGATGCAGCCTACAGCCATCCTGACGAAGACCAAACTTCAGGAAACACCCAAAAGCTTGTTTTCAAAGATGAATTTATGATCCTTCTCACACATGCATGTGGACAGAGGAACTAAAACTGAGAGGGTTTACCTCCAAATTCTATGGGCTTACCAAAACCTTTCTCAGAGCCAGATCACTTGAGCAGTCAGTCACCCAGTCTACCATGCCAGGCTGCCAGCACAGTCCAACTTATAAGGAGCAGTCGTCCAACGGGATACTTGGTACTCACATCAAAATATGAGTTAGTTACAAACCTGTCCACAGAGCCTTTTGTCAGCCGTGGGCTTGACTCATCTCTTCTGAAAAGTCAGAATGATGCGACAAGTTAAAAGACCAAAACTTTGGGGAAGAATTTGCCTTTGTAATTTATAAATGTTGAACCTCTGAGGAATCCTTCAGATTCCAAGAAGAAAAGTTTAGTACACCTCAGAAAAATACACCTGTGCACTAATAAATAACCAGTTACAAAGTCAAGAGAATAACAGCAAGTGAGTAAGGAAAGGAAAACCTTATTATGTTTGCTGAATTTGGAAATGCTGCACTTCCCTTCTGTAAGTCTTTACCATTATGTGATCCAATTGGGAAAAAAAAAAAGCTGAATTCAAGCTTTGCTTTCTTGTACAAGACCAGGGCAAGTGCTTGAGATGTAGTAACACAACACATGCTACCACAAACAAAATCCACACGTGCTAATGAGATACCGGGAAGTAAAGACAGTGATGCTACAAAACAGCCAGAACAGCAGGAATCCTAGTCAGCTACATTCCAGACACATCACCCTTCTCCCTTAAGTTGAATAGAGGATCACCCTTTCTTACCTGAGTAACATGCTTTGAAAAGTGAAGTCCAAAAATAATTGTATTATGATGTTACAACACTGAGTACTTCCTGTCACGACTTTCTTACCAGAGCATCCGTACTTACAAATGGCAAATCTGGAAGCATGCACAGTACTGAGTGAACTCTATTTAAAATGTATTTTCCCTTCCTGAATCCTGCATTCCTGCTCTTCTTTCAAGAGGATGCTTCCATGCCTCCTCTACCATCAGACCATGAGTTTCTGTGGTCCAAGGCCTACCGCCTCTGCAGTAAGCTGCAAACCCATTTGAATTCCACAGGGGTAGGCACAGGTTCTCTCTGAAGTTAAACCACCACAGACGCACCTGTTTAGATTTCACCTTTGAAACACCCCACTTTCTTTATGGCTTGTCCCCTTTTCCTTTTGTGAGGAAGCCAAGCTGTGAATTTCCCTTCAGCCAGAGCAAGGCTCAAACCACAGAGATGAATTACAAAACAGAGTTTACCACGAGCTGTAAACACAGCACAGTGCGTGCCCGTGGCACCAAAAGGCAGAGGCTGCTCTGCCGGGCAGTCTCGCCCGTGTGTCACCGGGCTGGTTATCAAGGTCCCCGGGGCGCTCAGAGGAGCTGCCTCGTTCCCTCCTTCCCTGCCCCCCCTGTTCCCGGGGGGCTGCTCACTCCGCAGGCTTGTTTTGCCACAGAAATCTCGCGCACGCTGGAAGAGGAAATCGGTTCTGTTCCGACACCTTCACACAGGGCAGGGAGCTCCGCAAGCCCCGTGCTCGCTGCCGCAACCGCACCGGCTTCCACGGAGCGCCCGCCGAGGTGAAGCCCTGCCCCGGTGACCTTCCCCGGACCCAGCTGCGAGCAGCCGTGCACCCCGCGAGCACCGCGGCTCGGCCCCCGCCCCGCACAACGGCCGCCGCGGCCTGGCCTGGCGCCGCCGAGCCCCGCACGACTAACGGGCGGCACGGCCCTGCCGCCGCCGCGCACCTGCCGCCCGGCGGCCTCCCCTCCTGCCCGCCCTCCCTCCCGGCTCCGGGCCCCGCAGCCCTCTTCGCCCCACAGCTCGGACAAAGCGGCCGCAACGCACCTGCTCCCGAGGCCGGGGGGCTGGCGGAGATCTTCGCCATGCGCGCCCCCATCCCTTTGCCGCTGGCTCCCCTCCGCTCCCGGCCGCCCCGGGCTGTACGAGCTCCCGCCTGCGAGGGGTCCCTGCGCCCACCACCCGCTGAGGGACACAAACTCCGCCGCCGCCGCGCGCTGGCTGCATCCGCAGCGCAACCAGGCCGGAGCGAGGCACTGGGGCCCGCGGCCCCCGCCCGCCAGCACCGTCACCCGCCCCGCCTTGCCCCCGCGCCGGGCGCTCACCGTAGAGAGGCGCGGAGGCTTCTCCCTTCCTGGCCATCGTCTCCCGGTGCCCCCGCGCCGGCACGGCCTGGGGCCCGGGGCCGCCGCCCGCCGCTCAGCGCGCCCTTTGTTGCCGTGAAGGCATGAGAGGCGGCAGCAGCCGGGCAGACCCCGCTCCGCTCGGCTCGCCTCAGAACACCGCCCGCGCTAAACCGCCCGTCCCGACGGCTCCGCAGCTGACGCCTGCGCCGAGTCCGCGGGGGCGGTGCCCGAGCCGTGGGGTGTGGGAGGGAGCAGCGGCATCGCGCCGGGGGCGGGGAGGGGGACGGGAGGCGGACGGGACGGGCCCGGCCCGTGCGGACACAACGCGGGCAGCTGCCGGCGGCGAGCGCCGTACCGTACCTGGCGGGCTCCGCGACGGGGAAGTCTCCATCCCGGTCACTGCCCCCCGGAACGTGACCGCCAGCAGCTGGAGCGACCCCGGCACCGTGACCCCGTCAAGGGGGACGCTCTCCCCGTCCCCACCCGCGCCCCGAGGCTCAGTGGCGGGTCGGGAGCAGGCAGCCGGTCCTGAAGCCCTTCGCCGGCCGCCCTAGCCCCGCCGCCGCGGGGGGAACCTTGGAAAGCGCCTCCCGCCGCTCCCGGCGGAGCTGTCCGGGCCTCCCGTGCTGAGCCGAGCCGAGCCGAGCCGAGCCCCGCCGCGGAGAAGGACCCGGGGACTGATCGGCGGGCCAAGCATCTCCCGTCCCCTCCCCCCCCCCCCCCTTCACCAGGAGGAACCGCAACACTTTGGTCCGGGCTTGATAGGAGCATTCCCATGATCCCGTCAAAGTACAGCTTCGGTGCTGACAAATACAGATGCTGGCTATAAACTTCAGTTGTCAGCCTCTTCCCTGTGAGGCAATGGCCACTTAGAGCGCAGTTTGATTGCTGACAGTGACGGCCCAAATCATTGCTGCAGCAAAAGGACACTACATTGAGATGTCACACTATGATTTAGTCTGTTGCTGGGGAAACATCAGAAAGTCCAACACAAGATGCAAAATCTTGTCTTGAAAAAAAATTGAACTAACCCCTTGTAATATTTGACAGAAGATGTAGGCCATCATTTACATGTTTACACAGGAGCAATTTGAGAGAAAAGTACTCCAAGTCTTGCAAATAAAGGTAACTTTTCAAAAGCTGGCTTACGAACCTCAAAAGCACACAAGTATTTTATTTATGGCTAAATTAATATGCATAGATCATGAAAGATGCTAATATGCTGGTACTGAAACATGAACCAATCACACATATATCAGAGGCAGTGAGGGTGTGTGCCTCATCCAGTCAGTGCAGCACCAGGTCTTACAGAGCCAGCTGCCTTTGCTAGGTTTAAGGAAACCAAACCAGGCACATGTCACACCTTATCCATCCCTACAGAGGTCTCAGTTCAGTTCAGGCCAGTTGCTCTCGTACTTACTTCAGTTCACATATGCAGCTTTGTCTGCTAGTACTGGAAGTACTTGGGTGCAGTTATTTCCCTTCTGAATTCAATTGGGAGGATTTATTTGTCTTTATAACTTTTAAAATGAGTAGTTGCTTCTTCCAGCTACCCTGTTTCATCAGAATACTACCCAGGCAGAGGTTAATGCATTCTGTGCATCCATGGTGGTTCACAAAGGTAAACTGGAGCTCTTTCCTAAACCTAGTCCACCTACCCTCTTAAGCCACTTCCCTGGTCTAGCTACCCAAGATACCTGTCACTGTTCTGGGAAAAAGATCCAAAGAGCAAACACCTCCTGTATCAAAGGGATGACATACTTTGCTATCTAGAGAAATCCTTATTTCATCTCAGTGTTGATGACAATTCAGACAATCTCACCTACAGAAAGAAGAGCTTCTTGTGTTAGAGATTGAGTCAAACAGGAGAAAAGCTGTGTAGGACAGCTCTGTAAGCACCAGGGTCGTGGGTTGTCTTCTAGCTCATTCTGATGAGGCACTGCAACCTGTAAAGCAGGGCAGGATGGGATTTGCTGGTCAGAGCTGAAGTTGAATTATCAGGAAGCATCAGTACTACCCTACAGCTCAGTACTACTCCGTTCCCTTGGTGCAGAGCAGTATCTGCATATAGCCTACTTTCAAGAACGGATATTGGAATCTCAACAAACTGAACCATAAAAGCCATAGGTAATGGAGTTTATATAGCTAGTCCTACCAATACATATATAAACAATATATATATGTCTATATCATAAGTAGTATATATAACATACTGTTGCCTCTATTGTGTGTGCATATATTTTTGTGTATATACAACATTATACAGACTATGTAATACAGTATTTATATATTGTAGGCAACATATGGTATATTTAACATATATGCTATATAGAATATATGCGTATGTTATATGCATTATATATAACAGAACATATATGTTCTACATGTACGTTCTGCATAGATATATATATGGGCTATGGCTAACAACCAGAAATGAGATTTTACTTACTCAGCGTTTCTAATTTCTAGGGAGAGAAAACCCTCACATGCATTCAAGGAATTTTTTTTTCTTTTCACTAGGGTTTATAGGCCAATATAAAATCAGGATTCTTAGATTTTTTCAAAATAATAAAATCATACATAATATTAAGAAGTTAGTTTGGAATCCTCCAGGATAAGAAGTATCTTTTGACTTGGTTCTAACCATCAGAACCAAGGAATAACTGAAAAATACACTAAAAAAGAAAGAAAGTACTTGCAAATAAGAATTCAATAGGTTAGAATAGTGCTAAAAATACATGAGTTAGAGTTTTTCTGGTAGATAGAAGGCTATGTAAAGACACTGCTTTGAGACATAGCAGATCATCTTTGCATATTCATATTTTTCTGAAGGGCCTGAGAAATGGTGAAAGGAAGCCAGCACGTCCAGGCAGAATGAAAAGGGCAGTTGGAGGAATCATTTGGTAAGTTAAAGCTGTGCTCAAATGAGCAAATGACAAAGGATCACACAAGTTGGCAGGTTAAATGTGAAAGCACACTAAAGCAGGCCAAAAAAAGAGTTTGAGCGTTAATTTGCAAGAAGTGCGGACACTAAAAATAATCCTCTTTTTAAAAGCCAAGAGCAGGAAGAGCACATGCAGGGCAGATCTGGTATTCCCCTCAAGCCTCCTATGCACATACAGACTTGAGGGTGATAGACATTTCTGAAAGTTTTGAACATATTTCTGATGAAAATCCAGAAAAGTGGAGACCGATAAACCTCCCCTCTGCATGCTGCAGAGGAAGCTACAATCATGTAGACAGGTTTGGAACATATGATATATTGGGAAGTACATTTTTTGTAAAGACAAGTCAGGGCTCACAGAACTACTGGAGGCATCCCAGTGAGTCAGCAGGTGTGAGGATGCAGAATACAGCAGGTCTTCAGGTTATCTGGATTTCTGAAAACATTTTTTGAAAACAAGGTGCCTCATCAAAAAGTCTTAAATAAATTGAGCCACCATAAAGAGAAAAGAAGTCTGTTTATGGCTAAAAAACGTTAAGGGGTGTTAGGAGTGGCTGTCACCACTTGCAGCTCCAGCCCAGGACCCCTGCCCAGCTGCTGGAGCCCAGGCCTGTGCCTGGAGACCCAGTGTACCTGTCCAGGAAGAGGTAGCACCTTCTCATGTGCAGGATCATCCAGCAGCAAAGCTGAGCACACGTCCTAGTGACCCACATAGGACACTGACTTGGCCAGTCACAGGCACTTCCACAGGTAAAACATTGCCTTCAGTGGTATCTATACACAGGACCCACACCACACACAAGCACTGGAAGCTACTCTTGAGCTGGCAGAGACAGGTCACTGGTGCAGGTACACACACGAGGCTCTCTGGATACACAAGAACATGTGCACATCCATGGTCCCTTTTATACCCCATTCTGCCTATTCCTCCTTTGCTCCTCCAGATGCCCTTCCCCTACACATTCCTTCATTAGTTTTCATAGCTCCAGGGATCCCTTTCCAACATTCTGGACCCTCAGGTTTTCATCCTCATCAGTTGCAAAGTCTCAGTTTGCCTATAGTTTATTGAGAGCCAGTTTGTTGCTTGTCTTTGTCAGTGTTGTGTTTGCCTGTCAAGTTTGTGTCTCCATGTTCTGTTTATGGCTTCCCACTTTTTCTTGCTATGCCATTTGACAAGAGACTTGGTCAGACAGTCCTACTGAAATAAATGTCCCCATACCCATTAGGGCGACTGAGCGGGTTTATGTCTCATCACTGCCTACCTTACCATTTGTCAGTCATGTCTGTGTCTTCTCTATGTTCTTGTTTATGGCTTCCTCCTTTTCTTCTTCCCCCATTTTGCATTGAGGTTCTTGACCAGATACCCCCAAAGGGTCAGACACTTCCACACCCCACAAACTTAACATCACTTAAAACTGATTCTAAAGTTCTATATGTTCCATTTTGTGATTTTGTGCCCCCTTTGTCTCACTTTACAGAAATCTTTCAAAAACCTTTTAAGACTAAACAATACTGTGTTACAGTGATGGGGTCCCCCAGGGAATCTCAAAGACTAATGTGCCAGGACCATTGCTGTTCCAGGCACTCATCAGTGATCTGATAAGTGAGAGGAACACTGCAGTGGGAAATTTTGCTGCCAATGGTTATGGGACTGAAATAATTTCAGATAAGGTCAGGGCAGATAAATGTAAAATGATACAGACAAGGGGTGCAGAGAAACACTCGTACACAAATATGAGCTTTGAGTTGACAATTACAACCCAGGAATTGTATTTTGTTATCATAGATAATATATGAAAATTTTCATTTCAGTATTCAGAGGTAGTAAAAAAACCAAAAAAGAACCAGACAAAAAGAAAGTAACAGAAAAGGAGAACAGAACTAATACTCTCATTTTTATGTAAGAACATGAGCCACTTTATGATTCTGATTATTTTGCCACAAAACAATGACATTGTAGAAAGTACTCAAAGAAGATTATTCAGCTTGGAAAAAAAATAGCTACAGGGACATCAAAACATTTTTCCCTTAAATCACTGACACAAAGAGGATGGTTAGGGACTGACGGTCCA